ATGTTTGGTCTCCTTCAAACTCTACTCCATGTTACTGTTCAGAGGGACCCGCAGGTGGCTCTTCTGCACACTCCATTCCTGATACTACCTCCCAGCAGACCTTAGCTACCTACCTATTTTTGAGCCCGTGCCCGGCAAAGACCCAGGGTTTAATTGCAAGAAATGAAAGACTGCATGAATAAGATATTGATTAACAAAAAAATGTCTAACATTCTTCGTGATTCCAAAACCAAGTTTCTCAAAATTTGGGACTTTCCTATGTCCTTCCATCTCGGAATTCCTCTAGTCTAGGCTACTTTTGATTTGCACCATATATTTTTACAACATACCCTCAGGCCAGGGTGCGGGTCCCCTTTCTCTTTCTTCCTCCTTCCTCTTTCATTCTCCTCTTAGGCTCTTTTATCTCCTCCTCTTCTGTTTCTTCTACTTTTTTAATTTCCCTATGCCTTTCTAGTTATACTGTGCTCTTGTCCTCCCGTCCTCGCCCATGTTCCAGCATCTACCTAAAAGGAGGACGGCTGGAGGACGTATGAGGTGCTTTATTGCATTTTTTAAGTCCAGCCATCCTTCCCCCCATCTCTCTTAACTGAAACTTCGTCCCTCCGTACGAGTTCTGACAGTTTGAAAATATACAGAAGCCTGAGATTTGCAGCTGTGATCGAGTGACCACAATTGCAATGCTTTCCAGGCTTGAATGCAAATATAAAAAAAATACTTATTTTTTTAAATATATTATTAATTATGTGTTTCTTTAATTTTTGCAAAAGGTGAACTTATCCTTTAAGTCCATTGAAATATGCTAGTAGATATAACACTATCTTCTCCATAGGGTGACAATGCTGCTATCCAAGGGTGGCTCCATTGCTCCTCTATACAGTGGAGCCACCCTAAGACAGGAAGTGTGTTAATGACTGGATCACCGGGCGAAAAGCCTACATTTTTTGTGTTTAGATACATTTTAAGCAACTAGATATGCAATAAAAAAAATAGAGCCAAAAGGTTTGCAGCAGCACTAGTCCTCAATAACACTATCTGATGATTCGGCTCCGCTCAGGGCTGCCTCGGACGGGCTGGCTGCTGTGACTGCCGCTCCGCGTTCCACTGTGCGGTACCACCCCTCCTACAAACCGCAAACCGCAAGTATAGCTCCAGTTGGAGCCTAATAGGGACTACCAAGTTTTCCATATGCATGCTTCCCTGCTGGACTGTACACAGTGATCTTAAACTCAGGAAGTACTTGTTTGCCTACCAACAGACCTGTTCTGGCTATTACCAGGGTACTCAAGTGCAGTATTCACTTCGCCACTACTATCACTAGGATGCTATGAGATAATAGCGTTGCTAATACTTTTTGTTGTTTTCACTGGCTGTGATGCAAGAGTCTTAAACTCCCCCTTAAGACTGGGAGTGACGCCTGAGACTCACGCCTGAGAAGCCTTATTCCACATCTGCTGTTACTTCCCTATGTTCCAGCATCTACCTAAAAGGAGGACGGCTGGAGGACGTATGAGGTGCTTTATTGCATTTTTTAAGTCCAGCCATCCTTCCCCCCATCTCTCTTAACTGAAACTTCGTCCCTCCGTACGAGTTCTGACAGTTTGAAAATATACAGAAGCCTGAGATTTGCAGCTGTGATCGAGTGACCACAATTGCAATGCTTTCCAGGCTTGAATGCAAATATAAAAAAAATACTTATTTTTTTAAATATATTATTAATTATGTGTTTCTTTAATTTTTGCAAAAGGTGAACTTATCCTTTAAGTCCATTGAAATATGCTAGTAGATATAACACTATCTTCTCCATAGGGTGACAATGCTGCTATCCAAGGGTGGCTCCATTGCTCCTCTATACAGTGGAGCCACCCTAAGACAGGAAGTGTGTTAATGACTGGATCACCGGGCGAAAAGCCTACATTTTTTGTGTTTAGATACATTTTAAGCAACTAGATATGCAATAAAAAAAATAGAGCCAAAAGGTTTGCAGCAGCACTAGTCCTCAATAACACTATCTGATGATTCGGCTCCGCTCAGGGCTGCCTCGGACGGGCTGGCTGCTGTGACTGCCGCTCCGCGTTCCACTGTGCGGTACCACCCCTCCTACAAACCGCAAACCGCAAGTATAGCTCCAGTTGGAGCCTAATAGGGACTACCAAGTTTTCCATATGCATGCTTCCCTGCTGGACTGTACACAGTGATCTTAAACTCAGGAAGTACTTGTTTGCCTACCAACAGACCTGTTCTGGCTATTACCAGGGTACTCAAGTGCAGTATTCACTTCGCCACTACTATCACTAGGATGCTATGAGATAATAGCGTTGCTAATACTTTTTGTTGTTTTCACTGGCTGTGATGCAAGAGTCTTAAACTCCCCCTTAAGACTGGGAGTGACGCCTGAGACTCACGCCTGAGAAGCCTTATTCCACATCTGCTGTTACTTCCCTCCGCAGTTGCGTTCCACACCGAACCCCCATAATAGGCGTACCACACTATTAGACATCTAGAGCTTTGACTCTAGTAGCCAGTCAGTGCAGCTTCCATTCTATTGGGACGTGTTGCTATATAGAGTTTAATGCCTTTATGCAAAAGTTGTTATTGTGGACAATTCTTTGCATTAAAGTAGTCTAACCTTTTTAAAAAAAGTGGCATGAATGATACTTGCACTATTTGGAACTTTCTCTTTTCTATGACAATAGCATTGGTGTTTGGGCTGTATTGGAATTACTTCCCAGGACAATTGTGATTCCTGCAAAGTGGACCTGTCAGTTTGACAATCCAGAGGTTGTCATCTGCTGAGAGTAGGGGGTGTTCCTGGCTGATTCTCCTCTTTGGTTACATGACATAAGTGCTTATTGACCTCATATGCTCTTTTAAATACGAAAATTCAGGTGAGTGATTCCTGTAAGCATGGAGGTGGAGGTCACATTGTTGTCTTCATGGTGACTTATCAGGGTACAAGAACTTTATATCTGAGTACTCCTTTAGTAAATCAGCCTCTGTCACACAGAGAGGAGTGGCTTCTAGTAAAATCTACTACAAGCACCATGTGCAGACCAGCTAATAAGGTGTCCACATTTTCAGGTCCCTGAGGGTAGCAATTCAGTTTAAGGCTGTATTCAGGCTATGAATTTTGGTGCAGTCAGCTACAGGTACATTTTAGGCATGTTTTACATGCATTACTATCCATCATTCTGTAATGTGCATTTGCTAGAAACTTATACCAAAGATAAAGCAAGCATGATTATTTTTACCCTACTGCACCTAAAATGCATTGTTGTTAATAGAACCTAAAATTCATGATCAATTGTGAAAAAAGCAGGGGTTATAACGTAGTCCAATCACAGCATTGCCAGCGCAGCAAAAGTTTTAAAGGTCGGAGTAGAAACTTTTTGAAGTATAATAAGTGTGACATTTTTTTTTTTACAAAGCAGACATTCCCAAATAAATTCCTTTAAAAGAAAAAATGAAAACACAGAACAAAGTTTGCATTCATCACTTGTATGCAGTAATACCTCAATGTCTATAAATGCAGGAGACTTGAGAAGTTAGGTACCCATTCTGACATCCTCCCCACCTCCCATCCTTGCCATCCCGGAGGTCAGTAATCTCCATGCACACATGCCTTCTTGCCGTTGGCTCTCACACCAATCAGTGCTGAGCAGACGGAGAGCTGTGTGTTTGTTAGGCTGATAATATCTATTAATTTACTGCACAACGCTGCTCAGCTCCCGGCTGTGCTCTCTGCTCTTACTTTTACCAAGGCAAATACACAACCACGTGGGGGACAAACAGACTTGTACAGGAACACAGCAGTTCTCATTCTACATCAACATCTAGACTGGCCACTAACCTTGTATTCCATGTTCTTCTATCACAAATACATGTACCTACTGATTCAGTTCTGCTACAACCAGTTGCTACATTGTAAATGCAAGGCTGAAGTATAGATAATCTATACAGGTTGCAGTAGTGGCAGGTTACCACTTAAAATGACAATACGCATAAGGATTTGGTCCTTTCATATAATATTGGTTGGTTGAATCTTTAGCATACTTGAGAGAGCTCCATGCAATTATGTAATTGTTCATTGCCCTCGCTGAATTTTATTAAACAGTTGCCATTACTCTGCCAACATAAAAATGGGTTCCTCTCATTGCAGCAACATGCGCGTTTGGCAATATAACTATCTTTTTTAAAAGCAGAAGAAACTGAGAATAGGTCATGCAGATCATTTTAGACCTAATTTGCTGATAGTTCAGCCATGTATGAAGCAAAGGTAAATCCTAAGGCTAATAAAAAAAACAAAAAAAAACACATGTATATTAAATAGTCAAGTAAGTAGTGAAAGTTGTACAATAGCACCTTTTGGTATGAATTTAAACTACTGTCCTTCACACTTTCTGCATCAGAAAGTTTGGTCTGGTACTGAACATCCAGGACTGTCAGTCTGGGACAAAAAAAAAATCTAAGAATGAAGACTGAACTGTCTTGGCCCAAGTAAGGTTATGCAGCTTATACTTTATGTATCAGCCCCTAACTGATTAAAAAGTGCTTCTCTGCTTCTATAATTCTTCTTTTTATGTTTTCTTAGACAGCTGAGCCAATTATTAAATAACATAACAAAAAACTGCAGCCCAGTCCCCATAATTTAATTTGACTGTGGACCTCCTCTGTCATCTCTCATACCGTTAAATGTACAACAGGGGACACAAGATTCCCATTAAAATATAACAGCTCTGACCTATGATCTAAATCAGTGGTGGCGAACCTTGGCACTCCAGCTGTTTTGGAACTACAAGTCCCATGAGGCATTGCAAGGCTCTGAAAGCCACATACTTAACTCCCAGAGGCAGATGGATGTTGGGATTTTTAGTTTTGGCACAGCTGGAGTGCCAAGGTTCGGCACCACTGATCTAAATCATATTGGGTTTCATTTATTAGGATAAAGAGTATTGAAAACAGTGCAGTAACCCATAACAAGCTGTCTTTCATCTTTCACCTACCTGTCCATCCAGCCAGACAGTGACAGTGACCCGTGACAGAGTCACATCCCTCTGCATGGCTGCAGTCACAGTGTTCAGCACAGTTCAGACCATACATCCCCTCCTAGAAGAGGGAAGAACAGTGTCAGCAGGCAAGCACATGAACTCACATACATGTTGGAAGTCAGTGGTAATGGTACATTTAAAGCCACTTTTAATACCGGACATGGTTGTTCACAGATGTCTCCCATCCAGCCTGCAATGCACATACAGCTACCATTTAGTGAGTTACAAGAAGCTTCATTCAGACAATGACAGGTCTGATTGCAGCTCAGTCCCCAAGTGCCACTTGAACAAGGAATGGAGCAATCTGTCCCTTGCCAGCCTGTAAAGAGTTAGAAAAGAAGGATTCATACAATATCTCAATTTTTCCATAACATACACATGCTTATTTTATAGTACACAGTAACTCCAAGCAGACATGTTGACATGCGGTGGCTATGGGTTACTATATTTAAACCACATGGACTTTGCTCTTCTCACAACCTTATTAAATATGCTCAAAAGTGTGTAAATCTGTGGCCAGGCTATGAACAATCAGGCATTTACAAATTCATTAGAAAATGAATTATACGACAAGCTCTCACTGACCTCTGTTACTGCAGGCACTGTGGAGCAAGTCATACTCAATGCTCACAGCAGAAGCACTGAAATCATTATCTTAGCAGCTCAGTTCACCCTCCCCCCCAGTGTGCCTTCATTACATTACAGATTAGAAGACTGGAAGGCTGCCAGGTCACTTAGGGCTTATTCACACCAATTCTAGTGTGTTCCAGCACAGTTAGTTGCTGGAACACACAGGATCGCATAATTACACCTCCCTGTGTTCAGGGGCAGGAGGGGGGGTGTGGTGGTGCCATTCAAGTCAATGGCACCAGAGCCACGCCTCCCGCTGTGCCATTGACTTGAATGCACCACCAAGCCCCCTCCTGCCCCCAGGATGCAGAGAGGCTTGCTCTATGTGATCCAGTGCGTTTAAGCAACTAACCATGCTGAAACGTACTGGAATTGGTGTGAACAAGCCCTAAAGGCAGAGGAACACAGGGTGAACTGAGATGCTGAGTGAAGAACTTGGACAACTTCAAAGCTTCTGCTCTAAACTTTGAGGATATTTTTTAATATTAAATTCAGGCACCTTCCCATGCCTTCATTCAACTTCATTCACCGACCTTGTGCCACTGTTGGCCAGAGTTATAATTCAATGCAGTGCTGATGCAAGGCAGTAATGTCAACAGAGCAGAACTGTGCACAGCGGGTCAAAGGGAACAAATATTTACAAGTGATCGGTGCCAGCAAATGTAACATTGACCATGTTTTGAATATATTAAATACTTCCGGGACTAGGATTTCCCATAGTGATTTACCCAATCAGCAGGCTGGGGGTGGGTCCTTGACCAAGCTGTCCTGCATAACTGCAAAGGTCAGAGACCTTTTTTTTTATTTGGATTAGGGCTGCCACTTGTCCGGGATTCACCCGTACAGTCCGGGTTTTGAATGTTCTGTGTCCGGGTTTCCTGGCAGTTGAGACCCGGACACATGATGTCAGGCAGACAAGGACAACCAAAATGAAGATAGGGGCTATTGGCCCCCACTGAAAATAGTCTTGACTGTGATGAATGGGTGGCGCTATTCACACATGAATAAGCCGCGACTCATTCTCCCCAAAAAATTTCCATGCGTCGTTAGAGTGTTCGGGTTTTGCTGAAAGAAAAGGTGGAAACCCTAATCTGGATAGCTGGATCACAGGACAGGCTAAACAGAAATGCATCTCTTTTGGCAGGGGACACAGTTCACATATTTATATTTTTACAGTGTATAGAAAGAACAAGATGGAGTTCAGCTTCAAGGAGAAGTACATATTGATAACATGGGTCATTTGCGTCACTTAGTTACAGCTAAACATTTCTGTTTTCTTGTTCCAGCATTGGGTACAATGCCTATTTTAATTATGCCATGCACACTGTAGTATTGTGTCCTAAAAAAAAAAGAAGATATTTCAAAAGTTCTATCTTTTGTTTTGCTGCCAGACATATCAATAGGGACCCTTCACCTCCAATGACGGATGAACATAATAAATAAGATGGTGCTGCAGTGATGTTGAAACTGATAGTTTTGCTACTTCATTACTACAGCAGTTACAAAACAAGTTAAAGTGTAATCAGCAGAGATGTCGATCTGACCCATCCTCTCCTTGCAATATCAAGCTGCTCTTGCACCAAGTAAAAAACTCTTTTTTTTCTGAATAAACTGAAAGCTCAGTTAATGAAGTGGAAAAAAATGCTTTTACATCAATTACGGAAGCCCAGGTTTATTCAATAAAAATGTCAGTGCTAAGTGCAGCAACCGACAGCTATCATACAAATGGCATGGGTCACATTGACGTTCCCGTGATGAAAGGACCGCTATTTGCCAAGCTCTCTTACCTTCTCTGCACATACAAGACCCATCCACCGGGGAGCAGACTGCACCGTTTTTGCAGTTACACACTGAGGAGCAGTCAGTTCCAAACGTTCCAGAAGGACAGGTAGCTGAACAGTCCGATCCCTGCAAAGAGAATATTACATAGGTAATTTGGCGGTAGTCAGCAATGTCACGTTCACACTATACTAACCAGGAAAGAGAGCTTTGCAGTGTATTCTACAGAGAATGAATGGAAATGCTTTCCTGACAGTGGCAGATATAACGTACATCACACATTATATAGCAGACCCAATGACCCTCTCGCCAAAGCAACAGCTCACATTTATCAATCAAAGTGATCGTTTACCACACGTGCATATTGCTTGGGACTTTTTATATATGTTTAAAGGAGAAGTATGAGGAGAGTGAAATGCACTTATCCCCATAGTTAGAGCCGTTGTGTGACACTGCAGCTGTCAAACTTCAGTTCTATAGATCGAGAATCACAATCCGCTGATTTCTCAGTTCACAATCTTCTCCCTGCAGGTAGTAGTGACTGTCAGTCACCGATCCCTGCAGAGCTCCTCCAACGCTGACTGGAGGGACAGACAGGGGAGGAGGGCGGGCATAGCTTTGCACTGTCAACAGATAGCCATCTATAGCCCCCTATACGCTGAGTTTTGGGTCATAGGAAAACATTAGAAAATGTCCTCCTGTGACCCAAATGAGAACTACAGCCTATAAAGGTTTGGCCATAGTTCTCTTTTATCTAAAAATAGAATGTACTGGGGGAAGGGAAGAATAAAACAGATTCCTTAGCAATAATCAGCCCAAAAAATGTAATAATAATAATGTAACATTTATTTGGACACTGGGAAAGTGAAATAGAATAACATAGAAAACAAAAGACACCTTTCATTGTGATACTCACCAGACACCAGATGGTAATAAAAATATTACATGCAGTGCGCAAATGTAATCAGAAGTGTATATACTAATATACTATAATCAGGGCTCAAAATTTCCACTCGCCATTTGGCGAGTGGAAATAAAGAGAGGGCGAGTGGAAATTCAGTCAGGCACGCGGTCACGGATCGCGTACCTGACTATGAGAGCAGCCGCTTCTTGCCGTCCTGTCCTGGCTCTGTTACTTTCGATCGATCACCGGAGCTCTGACAGTTCTGAGCCCCGTTCGCAAGGATGGATTAGTAAGGTCTGCAGACCTTACTGCAGAGAACGGAGCTCAGAACTGCAGAGCTCCGGCCGAAAAGGAACGGAGCCAGGACAGGACAGCAAGGAG